GAGCCGTGTGATTGGGCAGGTAGTCGTCGTAGGCGTATCCAGTTCGACCGATTTTCGCGCTAATTGCACGATGGCCGCTGCTGATTCAGTGGATGACAGGAACAGGACGGCTGTCGAGCCGAGTCTGGGTCGCTTGTTCGCCCAGCGCTTGATCACGAGGTTGGATCGGCGATCGACGGAGGGTCGATGCGGACGTGGCAAAGCGTTTTTGCTGTCTTGAATGTGCGTCGCCAAAAGAACCGGCTACACGTTTCGCTAAAAGTCTAAAAACACCCGGCTTCCTTCGACTACACCTTCGCCCGGGGCGTCAGTCTGTCCGTCTGTACTGAGAGATGCATTTGCTGCGTTGTCAGTCGACCGTAGCCGACCCGAGCAGGAACCCTGACTGCCGAGCACCCATTGTGTCCACTTATGCAAGTCCGGAAAAACGGCAACGGCAAGGAACGTGACACTCGTTGAACGACACGTGTCAAGTGCAGACGTGCTCAGCGAGCTGATGCTTGAGATTTGGCAGTTTCAGCAATAAAATAGGAAAATCTTCTGACCGTTCGAAGACCAGCCCTCACCACCCCCTCATGAAGAGGCGGTTTCTGGCATCATTTTTTAAGCCACGTGGTGGGGTGCTATACAATTTTCATTCCATTATCCAAGAGTGTTTTATTTTGAACGTACAGTCGAGATCTAGTATTCGACAAGCGTAGTATGCGGTCTCATGTTTCCTTCCCACAACAGTGGTACTCGTCATTCAACCGTTGAAGAAAAAACCTGGTGACGGTGACCCCACCGGAAGGCGAACTCGGGACTTCTCGATTCTGAGTCATTCTCTCGACCGAGCAGTCCCAATGAGGATGGTGAACCGATTTGCTTTCTGTTGTCAGATAACAGGCGGAAAGGGATTACCATAACATTTCAGCAAGACTTCTTGCTGCCCCGTTCCCTTACTTCAAAATGGTTATAGACAACTCTAATTCCGATGTTAGGTTTCTTTGTGACGATGATGCGACACGTTGAGGTTGTACTTCTCACTTATCAGGCAAAAGAATAGATTATTTCTTATATCATCATTCTATATCAATTATGTTCTAAAGCGCCCGCCGAAGAGACAAGGCGATCTCAGCACTGTTCCCATAGGTTAAAGCCACAAAGCGCACATTTATTCTGCACTCAAAGGGGCATAAGATAAACTAGCACATTAAGAACTCTTCAAAACCTAGCCTCTCTTTCAACGAAACGGAAGGAGAGCTACAACAAAAAAACTGAACGACATGCAAAGTACATGGTGGAAGTGGATTTGGTGCGATGGATCATCTTCAGATGGTAGACAAAATGATTCAGACAAGCAACGAGTACCAGATTCCTTTCATCCCGGGGATCTTCGATTTCGAGAAGGCATTTGACTCAGTCAACATCGGTACGGTACTGGATTATTTGATGAGGCAGGTAATCGAGGAGGGATAGAGAGATCTCATTGCCATGGTTTACAAGAATACAACTGCAGTGTGAAGCTCGCGGAAGCACAAGTAAATTTAAAATCGAAAAGGCCGTCTGACAGTGAGGCGCAATATCATAGAAGTTATTTTCAGCAGCCCTAGAAGCGGCTTTCAAGATATTCCGTTTAGAAGATCAGCCACTGGACATAAATCCGCAGTACGTAGAAAACCTGTGGTTTGCGGACGGCGTTCTGATCCCTTAAAAATAAATCAAAGAGTTGAATGAGTGCCAGCATCAAATTAGTATTGAAAATAATCCTGAAGAAGGCTCAGATCGTGTTTAGCAATCACCTGACCATGCAGTCTGTTGAAGTCAACGGACTTAAATTTAAAAAGGTGTAGAATTATGTCTATTTGGGGCAGCTGCCACGAAGACCCCCATCCTCGTTGTACCTTATGCCTGTCTGTCATGCTGTATGTTATGAAAACAGTTATTTTAACAAACGATCAATAAACGTGGTTAAACTCTCTCTCTACAACGTCGTTGGCTTCGATACACAATGAGAGTTACATGATAGAGCCACATAATTAACGAATATCTTCTGTCACGGCCATAGGAATGCGCCAGAAATGAGGAGATTAAGAAAAAACCAATTGTCTCTGTTAGACAAACTGCTGGAGCATAAACCGTTTACTCGCACCATCATGGTCCTCGTGTTGGGGCTGAAATACGTGGCAAACGTCAAGCAGCAGTCCAGTACCCAACCTGAGGGAAAAAGGCAAAGTCAGATCTGCCTTCAGAAAAATAATGTTCCATCGACGATGCCCAATAGCAAAAGTGTTATGAAGCTGAAGATGCAGCGGACGTTGCAAATCGAAGATAGTATGCTTATGGAAATAGCTGGAGATGATGATCTCGGCAAATACATGATACGAAGCTGTGTCTCAAACGTATATGCATAGTGAAACGATTCATTTAAACGATATGCCGTTGGGTCTAATATATTTTACTGGTGCCATTGTCTCTAAGTTATTTCGTAGCAGTCCGTTGGAGACGCTTATGAACCTTAACCAAAAACATGTTGTCTTCAGAAGCCCTTTGGTTCAGCGCTGCCCGTCGTATTTCACTCACGCCAGGCGAGAGTAAAAACTTGGTGAGGAAATGTGAAACCTGTTTTTGTTCGCAAACCTATCACCGGATAAGTGGATTTGTGTCGATAATGTCAGCAACAAGAGTAATGAACGGTTTTGAGAAGTTTGACATCTGCGTCGCGCTAAAAGCAAAATCCAGCCATTGGTGCGTTTGCGTTTTTGGTAAAGTCGGACGTCGGCCAATTCTGAAGGAGTGTTCAAGTTCGATAGGTTTCGGATGTCTCACGTCTCTCGTTGATGAATAACCACGACGCTGGCACTCCTTCAAGATCACGTCGTTTATAATTTCTACTTTCTAAACGTAAACCGTTTAACCGGTCGAAACCGCCTACGGCATCGCTGCAGGAGATGTGCTGTCAACGAATGAACGGATGAATATAAGTTAAATGTACAGACACAAACAAGATTTATTGTCTATGACCGAGGAGCGAACAGCCAGATCTGAACCATAGCCGTTGAGTGGGCGGGTCCCAGTAAAGTTTGTGACACGGGGCCCGTCAGACGTGCAGAAAAAGCTCTGGGTTACGACGTTACATTTGCAAGTACTTCAGTTAAATATGTAAGTACAAATAAGTACGCAACTCCTTGAACTGATATCTGTCTCCTAGCAATGCCATGGAAGAAAGCAGAAGGGGATTTAAACAGGTATCTGCAAAGTGCAGAGATTCCGATTCTCGACTCTGCTCGCCGACTTATCGACCTAACGAGACGACCACGATGAAATGATGAAACAAAATAGAATTTTTTAAATAAGCTGATTCGGCTATAGCATCATATGGTACCTAGTTTTTAATGACGGATGAATGACGGTTAAATCAAGAATCTGATACTCATAACCATCAAGCAGTTATATAGATTTAAACTCGCCCTAAGTGACCGCGTGCTGATTTAATGATTTGGCAGAATGGACGCAGCGAAATTTTAATACGAAAATACCAACTTTGAAACTGATTCGTACGACGAAAGATTCAGATATAGTGAGCGATGTATAAGGTGAGGGACCAAATTAAGTTGTTGATACTGAGGAGTACCTGCAATTGTATTAACTTTGACCCTCGATTAAACGACTGCGCGTTGACTTAGCGACCTCGCTCAGGCACCACGATCGAGTCAAAAACTAAAATAAATCTAACTAATATTAAAATTAAAAACGACATCGCGTTGCGATAGATAGAGAGCCATCCAAGATAGGTAAATTCAAGTGTAAAGTCAGATAATCGACACCACCACATGACTTTTACATAAATTGACTGCGCCTTGACGTACTGACATCGCACAGTCGTCAGAAGGGCATTGTAATGAAAAATTCAGTAGTTTGACGACGGTATCGTACCTCACTCACAGACAGCTTCCAATTGATATATAACATGATGGACTGAATCATGTAGTTGATGCAGCTCATTACTGCAACGTTATAGATT